AATTCTTAGGTCCTACCACCACTCGGGAATCTCCAAGCCGTGTCGTCTGTGCTGTTAGGGTCGCTCAGTCCGCTGCCAGACCGCAGCTCCATGTGTCTCCTTTTTTGGTATTTTCACGAAAATTCTTCTGATAGTTTGGGTTTAGTCCACTTTTGTATCCTTTCCTTCAAGGCTCAGGGATCCAAGATTATCTTCTGTGTCTGTGTTAATTGATTTCCCTTTTTTTTGTTGAAGAGCGTCTCTGCAGTCCTTGTGCCTAGTCCGCCATCTTGCTGGAACTTCCCTTAACACTTTTTTTAAAGGAGTCTTTTGCAGCAGATCTGCAAGATGCAACACACCATCTGAGTCTTTAACTGCCGTTTCCATGGGTGTCAGTTGTGGATCTAAGTAAAATGAAATGCTTGACAAGTTCAATCTTTTGTCCATTTATCATAATGCTGCTGCTTATTGGCCCAGTTGTGAGGAATTTTGTTTTATGTTGAGGTGCAACCCAAATTGAAGGCTGTAGTCTTGATCTTCATTACTAAGTGCTTCAAGTGTCTTCACTTTAAGTAAGCAAGGTTGTGTCATTTGAATATTGCAGTCTGTTAATTAAGTCTTCCTCCAATCCTGATGCCATATTCTTCCTCATACAGTACTGCTTCTCAGATTATTTTCTCAGCATACAGATTGAGTAAGTATGGTGAAAGGATATAATCTTGATGTACACAACTCCTGATTTACATCACTTAGTATTCCCTTGTTCTGTCTGAGTGACTGCCAACTAGGCTCACTATATTCAGCAAATACCAAAAGTAATGCTTAACACCTATGTTCTTCGATACTACCAATTAACAGATCTTCTGACTGCTTTTATTTGGTTATTCCTACATTCTTAGGTCACCTGATTTTCCTGCTAAGGACCTTTCTCAGTGTTAATATGGTTTTAATGATGAGAAGGGCAACAGGAAATAAAGGTAGATTTATATTACTGGGAAATGCTTGAGTAGTACATGACAGTGCTCCCCTCACAACAAACCTACACTACTCATGCATGCCAATCTTCAGGTATTTATGAGAGTTCATGTGAATTCAGAGGGCAATTAAGTCTTTAGAGAAGCACAAGCAAACCTTTCTCTACTTCCTCGGAAAAAGGGAAGAGTACAGAAAGGCAGGAATAAAAATTATATTATCTACTTTTATCTCTAATTCTAAAACAGACTTATTTCACAACTCGTATTAGAATAGTAGTCACCACAGTTAATTGACAATTGCTGATATATAGAGACCACAGAAGGTAATAAATCCCAAAGTGCTTGAGACTTAGCCCACTGTTGTACTTTTCAGCCCTGTGAAACCCAAAGTCATTTTCATCTACTGCATTCTCATTAACATAAAGGAAACCAACAATTTTCCAAAATGCTAAAGCCACAAAAGAGCTCTGAGGCCTCGTGGTCAAAGTGGGACAACATATACAAAGGGCTCTGAGACATTCCAGAGGCTAGAGCTCATTTCTATTGCCTTCTAGGTGAGACAACTTAAATGTCGAAATCTTTCAAAGCTTAAAAATCAGCTCACAGTAAGCAAGTTTAAAAGCAAGCAAGGAAACAAAAACTCCAATTTAACCTAAAAGGTAGTTCACTTTGGTTTATATTCCACACATATGTACTGAGTACACCTTCTGTTTCTTTTGGTCAAACATTTCTCAATTTATGTTCAAAACCTAAACAAGGGTATAAAAGCCCTGGCTCACTGCACCTGGCCTCATGCTGCTAACATTTGTATGCCAGGCAATATACTAATTTGTGGCATTTCATACATTATAGGATTTAATCTTCACAATAATGCAATGAGGGAACTGTAGGTCAGAGATAAACCTTGTTAGTTCCACTGAACAAGTACAGAAAGCAATGCAAGGAACAAAAGTCTAAGTGGACTTAACAAACTAAAATGGAATCTTCCATTATCCATTTGAAAACATAGTACTGGGCACATCGCAGGTGCTCAATCATTAACATTTGTTCAAGAATAAATGTTAAATGTTCTCTTCTCCCAAAGCAAAACCCAGTTTCAATTCCACTTAGATTTTTCCTAAAGCTCAAAGTATAGAAAGCCCTCAATAAAGCTAGGATTCAGAAGTGGAGCCATTCATTTTATCTTGCATGTTAGTTCTTTGCAAAAATTCTCTAGCCTTCATTAAGTTTAAAATCTAATGAAGCATGAAATGAGAACATGTTTTATTTAATTGCTGGGTTCAATCTCTGGGGAAACAACTAACTTTTATTCTATGTAGTAATTCTCAGATTGCAGCCCTAACTGAATTTTTTCACATCCTGAAAACTTCCAAACTTCTTGTAACTTACCCCTAATTACAGGACTGCAGCTTAAGTGTATAAGATTAAACACCATAAAAAGCTGCAAGACGCTCTTTTAAGGGAAGAGGAAACTGGTCAGAGAAACGCCTCCAATTTTCATCCCCAACCTGATTTTTAAATCCATGAAGGATCTGCAAAGAGTAAAAAATGGTTAGTTAGCTCATCAATAATAAAAGGTATTTTATCTGTTTTAAAGCAGTTATTCTCAAGTGTGTTGGATTCTACACCACTGCCTAGCTTGGCTAAAAGCACCTCCTAGTAAACTTTGCTTTCAGAAGTTTAGAATCCAGAAGTATCCTAGTAACAGATGTACTCTGAATAATTTTTTTTTATCACACTTATGAAAAACAAATACAAAAAGCACAGAATTCATGCAAGGGATAAAATTTTTATGTCATATTAAACTTTTTCAAATGGGAAATATACAAAGCTTTGGGTTCATGGCTGTAACTGTATTTCATTTATTTTCATAGTGAGTGAGTCAAATGTGTAACAGCATTTTATTTATTTTGTTATACTGACTACCGACTGAAGTTAAAAAAAATAAATAAGGGGGCACAAGAAAGCAAAGAACTATACAAACTTAATCCCTGGGGAGGCCTAATCTCAGTCAGCTATCCTGGAAAATATATGTTATTTTATGATACATAAGTGGGGTAATGGAACAATACGAATTAGTGGCACAACTTGGGAAATTATTTTCAAAGTGCACGCTCTACTGAACACAAAGTCACTGCTTTATCCTAAGAAAAGATCAGGCAAACTTCTTTGCCAAGAAAAACGGTTATCCACCATCTTACTAATATTGATTTGAAGAGCCTACGTAGCATATAAATAATAATAATTAAAAAAACCTTTCAATGAAGATTTTAACAGTCTCAAAATGATGCATATAGTTTAGTTACCTTACAGAACATGTCTCTGAGATCATCTTTTGGGCTAATCCATGATGCAACAGCATCACAAAAAAATATAAAATCCTGTAATAAGAAATATCTCTTAGATTAATGTTACATTTTTCAAAGAGAGCACAAAGATATACACAAGCCACAGGATTTATGTCATGCAAGAATCTTAGCAAAAAAAATGAATATATTTAAAATCGACTATAATCATAAGGAATTAAAATGATTACTTAATGGTTGGCCCTATCATCCCACCTTCAAGGAACTATCCCATTTATTGTTTCTATTGGAAATTTTAATACTGTTTTATTTTTACATCACAAAACTCTAGTCTAATATATGTTTAGCCATTAGCAATAGACTAAAAGCACCAAATCAACACCCATTTAAATAAAAACAAACCTTCATTTATGGAATTTAAGTTAAAGAACTATATAAATTTATTAATTGTATAGTTCTAACTGGCCAGGAAGTATTTTAAAGCCAGCTGAGTATAAACCACATAAGCTTGACCTGAAGTATGGAATTAATAGATCTAAATTCCAAAACCCATCTTTAGACAGAAACTTAAATGAAATGACCAAAAGTCAGAAGAAAAATTAATTATGCAGTTAAAAAAAAAAACCTCATCCCAACCCAATCAAAACCCAACAAATCCTACTCTTAGACACTTACTTTAAAAGATAATCAAGTTATTCTGACTCTGAGAACAAGGTGACAACATGTGTATATTTTAAGTTATTTCATAAAAATATTTTTTCAATCTTAAACATCATACTGAAATATCAATAACTCAATATAGAACATTCAAGATACTGATGTTTTATCATGTTAACTACTTTAAATGAAAAATTTACTGTAAGTATATATACAAAAACTTTTATTTAACAGCAAATAAAATGCCACTTGTTTAAAGTTCATGGTTTATTCAAATTATGATTTCTATTTTCCAAATACTAAATGTGGTGATAAAAATTTAAATATGCCTGTTGTTGTTGCGTGGTTATGTGCCCTGGAGTTGGACCCAACTCATAGTGACCCCTCTTTGAGTTTCGGAGGCGGTGTCACTATGGAAGTAGACTGTCCAACCTTCCTTCCAAGGAGTGGTTGGTAGGTTTGAACTGCCAGCCTTCTGGTTATCAGTCAAGTGCCTTAGGCACTATGCTACCAGAGCTCCTTGCCTAACATTTGTATTAAAACATTTTAAAAATAAAACTAAGACATTTTCTTTTAACCACTATTCAAATGAAGTATGTCAATGCAAGTTAAAAGTACAAATTTATACTAATAAGTTGGAGTGATTTCATGATCAAGTATTACTGTTTTAAATGTTAATTTAATAAGAAAAACAATACTAAAACCCAGGTTGGAAGATGCTCTCCTTTAAGATGGCATGTTATGTAAAATACTACAACCACACATGGAAGATGACACAAAATTCTTAAGTATTGGAAAACTGGAACGATCAGAATATTTTGCAATTAGGGAATTATTCTCAAGGTATACTTATATCTAGTTCTAAAACATAAATTTATATTTTTAATCATAAAATTTTTGCTAGTCACTCTAGAAGGCCCTCCATGTGCCCTATTCCAATCTTATCTCTATTCCCCCAAAGGAACTACTACCTCAATTTTTATAACAATCACTTCTTTGTATTTATTTCTCTGTAGTTTCAACACTCAAGTGTACATCTCTAGATAACCAAATTTAGTTTTGTATTTTCACACACTTTTTAACTGATTTGATATGTCTTAAATCTCTCGGAATCTACAGTTTTTCCCTGCATTCCTTTATCTTCCTTACAATTAATCAGCTGAGAAATCCAGTCTTAATCCTCTAATCTACTATTGACTATCTTTTTACCTGACAAAGATTTAGAAAATAAAAAGAGGTACTATCATGAAGAGATTTAATATACATCAAATGTATAACCTGTATTTCATTATCTGAAAAATTACAATACATATAAAATTCCTCAAACCAAATTCACTGCCGTGGAGTCGATTTGACTCATAGAGACCCCTTAGGTTTCTGAGGCGGTAGCCCTACAGCATTTTACAGTTGAAGTCACAGTACTTCCTCCTTTATTCAGAACATTAAAAGTTAAAAACAAATTCTTGTGAACATCTTACTTGGATTACTCCACTGGGATTCACACTGATCATGGTACAAATCCCACGGAATGCTGAATCTTTTTCCTCATTGTCTCTTATGTTTCTCAGAGAGGTACACCTATGAAATTATAGAATTGAGTTTAGTATTGAAGTAAAAAGCAGTTTAAATCATAATACCAATGGACAGTATTTAATGGAATAAATATAAATAATGGTTATATGCAAAGAGGTTTCAGAAAGTTTAAGTTACTCATACTTCCAGTATGTTAGGCCCATCTAATCGTCATTATAGTGGAAAAAGTGAAATTCACTTTGCCTTAGTAACAGATTGCATCTGTGAAGAGGACAACTGATTCACATCTATTTAAATTACAGCATGATTTGAGCCATGAGTAAATCAGCAAATAAATTTTTAAAACTATATAATTTGTATTCCATTAAACACTAAAAATGACTCGAAAGATTATCAACTGAAAGAAGCAGAACATAGAATATATTGCCACAATATAAATTATTATACAACTTATGGTGTAGATGTTTAACTTTTACAACGACAAGCAAATAAGATTTTTGTACATAACAAGTTTAAACTGTATTTTTAAATGCAATCCAAGTTTTCAAATTAATTCTAAAAAAGAAAGGTAATGCAGAAACCTAAATTTTTAGAGTAATTGCATGCATCTTTATTTTTCTGGTGGATATTTAAATGCTTTTTATGTATAATCAAGCTTTTTAACACAGCAAGCATGTGACAATCTTATCCCATGCATCAATTAGTCGTTAGCCACAACATAAAATAAATATACATGACGGTGCTACTAAAAAACCTCACAAACCTGATAGGACAAGATTAGTCACATGGTTGGCAATGATTAAGGATTGTGATTTTTGTAACCAACTGAAAATATATCTAAAAGTGAGATAGAAAGAGAAAGAAAGAGTGAAGAAAAATGAATTAAAAAAAAAGATTGAATAATACACACCAGGGTCTTATAAACTGCTGTAGCATGGGGGCCACCTCTTGAGGACAAACGTAACCAAGACGACCAATTGTTATTGCTAAGGTAACGCAATCACGGTTATACACCACCAAACGCCAACCAAGACATGAGCAAATGAGGGGGAAGGAGAAAAAATAAAGAAAAAACAACAAATAACTCAGAAACAGAAACCAACAGAATTTGTGTATGATAATAAACATAAGATTTCACCAGTGCTGTTTATTACCACCCCCTAAAATAAGGGGCAGCAACATATATGGCATACTCTTGGAAAAAGAAAAACAAAAGGAATTAAAAAAACTTTGAAGATTGAGAGAACACCAAAAACCATGATAAATTGCTTCTCTCGCCAAATTAAGTGCCAAAATATTGTTAGTAAAAAGGCGAGTAATTAAATGAATGGATTTAGAGAATCTTCATTCAAAACCAGTCAAATTTCAGAATTTAGTAATAGTAAGTTTTTCTCCAAGAAATATCAGTAAATGTGATTAAATTTCTGGTCTAATCAAATATACTTCTTTGTAGTTAAAACAGTTACTCTCATTTTCCTACATCTCTTCTTTTAAGTGACTGCCATTCTTTGAAAATTATCCAGTAATTTGATCTAAAGTTTGGTAATTTTTTTTCTTTTGTTGGTATTTCCAAAACAAACCAGTGGACCATTTGTAACCTGATACAAAAATCAACTGTCAAATCTTATGTGTTATGGTACCCACTGAATGAATGAATTGGAAAATGTGCTATGTCAAGTCCTATTCCAATACATCCCTGTGATGATGATGATAGTAATTCAGATAATATTCCAGTAATTATAAATCATATTTCACATAACAACTCTAAAAAAGGAAATTTAGGCAGTCCACTGAAATGAGATGTGATATGTGGACTAAAGGAAATAATAAATACTCCATTTTGCTATAAAAAGGCATAGCACAAAATGATAAAACATTATACTGTTACATGCTAATATTTTATTTTTAAAAATTTTAAAGTGGGAATTAATCAAACAAGTATATTCACCATCAAAATTCAGGAAGTCAAACTTACAAAGAGCTAAAACAAATGCAACTCAGAACTGCATTCTGCAATTCAAAGGTACATACATATAAATACATTTATACACACGAGAAAAAAATACAAACAGAAAACAAACCATGAGGTGCTTTAATGGTGTTCTCTCAAAAACTTACAGGTTAACCTTTCATAAAAAAAGGGTGGGGGGTAAAGAAAAATGTTTAAGGATTACTTGAAGCAAACTACACAGATAATACTAAAATCCAGCGGAATCATATGAAGCAAGAGAAAGAAAACCTATGCTCAAAGACACAAACTATGCAACAAACATTCTCATTAAACAGGCAAGTATGAACAATCCAATGAAACATGCGATAAAGCAGATGATGTCCATTTAAAAAGTTCAGTGTAGGATATACTAATTGGGAAAAAAGCAGTAACTGAATACTAAGGAACTGGCTTTATGAGATTTTAACATAATAGTCATTAAGTTGTTGATATTTATAGATATTAGGTAGCAACAATGATTTTATTTTAATAATTAAAAATAAAAGAAAAATACTCTTTTGGGTAAGAAATAAGGGAAACAATGTTATGAGGCCACTGATGATAAAAATAATACATCTCAATTGTATTTCTCTATCATTATCAATTCAATCCATCAACATACATGAAGGGCATTATCAACTATTTTACTATTTACTTAAAAATAATTATACTTAGAATGGAATTTTATAAATAAAGCCAATTAGTTAAAAGAAATCTATTTACCAGCTGATATCCCACAAGAAACTTTAATATACATTACATTCAACATTTATTTGCACTTATGCATTCACATTTAAAAATAAATAAGAAGTTTCTTTAAGTTCAACAATTTCATAATGGCAAGAGTTTCAAATCTGAATGTCATGTACAGGTACTGCATTCTAAAGAGATAAAAACCTGACAACATTTAATAAGAATCCTATGCATAGATTTTTATATTTTTCACCAAGAAAATCTAAATTCACTTTGTGAAATAAACAGTACCCATACAGCCAAACAGCCAGATAACTGTCTCATAATTAAAAGATTTCCTTCCATACCAATAAATGTATTCATTTTAAATCACATGAGGGTAAAATGAACTTTCCATAATTTAAAAATATCAAATTAAAACTTCCTTATTTAGGAAATCTTATTTTAATTTTTGCCAAGAAATTTTGGTAAGACCTTCATTAAATATGAAAAATCACTGGAATTATCTTCATTTATAAAGATAAACGAATGTGCTTAATTGAAAATAAAATTTATATCTTTTGTCATTATTATCACTAGGGAGGAGGGAAAGAAAAGGACTCAATCACCCCTAAAAGTGTTCTATAGTATGGAAGGTACTCTTTCATGTAATATAAACATGCTCTCTATAAATGCAGAAGAGAAACAAGCCTCCTAAATATCAATCTTATAGGTACTGCTAAAGTTTCCAATTTGAAAGAAATTACAGGATGAAATAAAAAATACATATGCCACACTATTAACCAACCAAGCACTAAACTGCAATCTATTTTTGGCCAAATTTTCACATATCAAAAATAAATTCATTTTTATTTCCCAGCTCTTACCACTTGAAACTATAAATTCTTCACATGTGCAAGGATATATATCTTTAGAGAAGTTATTCTTAATTAATTTTAAAAGCAAAACCATATGGTTCATAGTTAACTTAAGTAGAATCCATTTTACGGAATGTAAAAATACTGGCAAAGGAGAGAAAAGTGTTTTTTCAAAGTTCTGCAAGCTGGTTTAGGAATGTAGCTAATAAAACTATTTAATTACTGAGAATCTAAAATAGCTGTTAACAGTAAGCTGGGTTTTGAAAGCTAGCTTTGCTTTGGTTTCTCTACGCATGTTAATTTAAAATGAAAAGGCAACTAATTTTCTCTTCACCGTAACACATCAGTCATATGGTACCTGTATTCTCTAACAACGTCTTTGGTGTGTTGGGTCTGTTAATGATTTCTACAAGCTGGTGCAACACCATAGGGATATAAGGCTGCATCTCTATTCCTAGATCATTCCAAAAAGAGAAAACAAAGAAAAATTTCAATGTTAAATTATCAGTGTAAAATACTTTGCTATCCCTATTAATTGTGATATAAACTATATACAGTGCAATTAAATTTTAAAAAAGTAGTAAGTAAATATCATGAAAACTAAAAACATACTCTTAAGGGGGAAAAAAATAATCCTACCCATTTGAATGGAGATTTCTCCAATTGCCCATGTGGCATTGTTGCAAACTGAAATGAACTCTGGATTTAGGTTGGTTCCCAATATGGGCATGAAATCAGCTAGAGGAAAGAAAAACAAAGAAATTGAAATACTATGTAGTAAACTTCTCAACAGCAGTGTATCTTATATTATAGGAAATCTACTGGGTGAAACTGAAATCTAGGCAAGAAATAGTAAGTTTCACTATTAAATATTACAACATGAAATATTAAATTGTAACAAACAAAAACCAGGCAAATATATATTTAAAATATCTCTTAAAGACATGGGTAACATATGTCATAAGATATCGAAAGGTCAGGAGGCAACCAATATCCGGACACAGAACTTATTTTCATATGAAGCCAAACAAGGAAACATAAAGTGTTGGTAAGAATAATCTCTTCATCATACTGAGTAAATTCAAAATAAAAGCAGGGAAAAAACAAAACAAAACAAAAAAAAAAACCCGGAATGGAACAGAATTTTCTTTAAAGACAGTCTTCTAGAATTAAAAAAAATCAATACATATGGCTTTTAAAGGAACTTCTACTCTGGTGCTCAGATAGTGGTCTCTAAATATAATTTTCCATGGAAAGGAATGAGGGCTCTGAGAGAAATGTCCAATTACAATCGCAACCTAAGGGCAGAAAATATATAAAACAAAGCCTAGATTACCTTGTCATACTAATAGGACCCAGGAGTCAACTTGATTAAGCGCTCACTGTCAGTCAGAGGGTGTTTGGAGCATTATGTGTTCTTACTGACACTCAGAAAACAAAACAACTGAAACTCAGAAACCCAACAGACATCTTTGAAAGAGTCAGGAATCAATTAGTTATTTTAAAAACTGGTAAATAAAAGGAATGTTCTAATTATCCTACTTGCCTATATGATTAGTATCTTAGAGCACCTAATGATCATGATTCATAAAATAAAATAAAAAATGACAGGAGAAGATCCAAGATAGCAGGCTAGGCAGATATACCATCCCAATCCTTACAACAAAGAATCAAAAAATCAAGTGAAATGAATACAGGTGACAATCTTGGAACACAGCACTTCAAAAGAAAGCATAGAGAAGTAGCTCAAATACCCACTAGAGAAAGAGAGAAAATGAAAACAGTGAACAAGAGGCATAGCATGGTGAATTGCCAACTGGCCTGGCACAGCATGGCCATTTTGAATTACTGCAAGCAGCATTCAAAATTGAGGAAGCAATCAGATTAATTTGCACTATGCGCCCAGGATTGCACCGATACCCAATCATGTGACTGGTTACCAGCATGAGGTCCTCTCTACCCCTACCTACCAAGTGGCTGGTCAAACCACTACCCACTGCCAGCACTATGCTACTGCTTTTTTATTTTATCTTAGTTCTTCCCTCACCCTCCTTTTTGTCTGATCCCATGGAGCAAGTGATCTGACTCCTGCCACCTCCATGGTCAGCAATGCCCAATTCTCCTCCTCAGTGTTTGGTGGTTAGTGCTTGTGTCCTTTATTTTCTTAGTTTTTCCTCCTCTCGTTTTTCCCACTCCCTTCATCTTTATTCTTTCATTCTAAGTAGTTGGAGTCAGCAAACTTACCAAATATTACATGCCACACCAACCATGCGGCACACTGCACAAGTTCTACCATCTACTCTATCACCGCTGGATCGATGACAGATGGTGGTTAACACCAATAATCCATCCTGCCTTCAGGTGATGATCTACATGATTAAAGATCAGAGACTCATCATGCCTACACTCATACCTGCTATCAACTCTATGTAGAGAAAGGTAACGAGTGCCCAGTGCTGCAAAACTAGCGACCAGAGTAGCACGCCTGTCCCACTGTCCAGATATGTTAAAACAAAACAAAAAAGCAGGGTGAAGCAAACCAATATACAATCAACAAATAAAAATTTATAAAATAATAAAACTGCCTTGGAGACTACAGCCAACTTCAAATCACACACACACAAAAACAGAAAAAGACGGTTCAAGAAGTGACTAAATACAGATGTGAAAATCATCCAGAGGGAGCAATGATATGGGATCTACTTGATAAAGAATTCAAAAGAATTATACTTTGGTCCCAACAACAGATTTTAAAAAAAAGATTAAGGAAACCAAAGACAAAAATAGAGGAAAACGCAGTCAAAATTTAGAATTCAGGAAAACAGAAGAAAAATAAACTGACAACATAAATGGAAAATTAGAAATCATACAAAAACACTAATGAGCAATCTGGAAGACTGAAATTTCAGGAATAGATAATGCATTGAAGGGCAAAGGAGATGTGAATCCATAGAAGACAGAATTAGTGAAACTGAGGAAAAATCCCAATACTAATCTATCAGAGGAAAAACCTGAAAATGAAAAAAACAAAAACTGAAGAAAGCCTAAGAATTAGATGAGACATCATCAAGAGAAATGACTTAATGTGTGATGAGAATTCTAAAAGAAGAGACAAAGAACTGAGAAATTTTTTGAAGATCTGTTGGAAGAAACTTTGCCTAATATCTGAAAGATGACAAGATATAAATTCAAGAGGTTCAATGAGTCCCAAATAGGACAGAGTCTGAATGAAAATCATTAAGACACATCATAAACTTTTCAAATACAAAGACAAAGAAAGAATCTTGAAAAAAATGAAAGTTACCTACAAAAGAGAACCAATAAGACTAAGCTCTAATTTCTTGGCAAAATCCACAGAGGCACGAAGGCAATGGGAAGACAAATACAAAATCCTAGAAAACAAACAAACTGCTAACCAGAAGGCTGGTGGCTCAAACCCATCAGCCACTCCTCTGAAGGAAGTCTGGGTAATCTACTTCCGTAGAGACACAGCCTCGGAAACCCAAGGAGGGGTTGCTATGAGTTGGAATAGACTTCACAGCGATGTGTTTTTTTTTTTTTTTCCCCTTGAACCAAGAATTATGTATCCAACAAAAGTGTCTGTCAAATGTTGTTTGTTGCCAGGTGCCGTTGAGTCAGCAGTGACCCATAACAATCCTATGAAAAACAAAATGTACCAGCCTCACAATCCTTCCTATGCCTGAGGCCATCACTGTAGCCACTGTGTCACTCCATCTCATTCAGGGCCTTCCCCTCTTTCACTGACTCTCCACTTTACCAAGCATGATATCCTTCTCCAGGAAATGGTCCCTTCTGACAACATGACCAAAGTAGGTGAGACTAAGTCTGGCCATTCTTGCTTCCAAGAAGCATTCTGGCTGTACTTCTTGCAGGATAGATCTGTTCGTTCTTCTGGCAGTCCATGGTACCATACCTTCAGTATTCTTGCAACACCACAATTCAAAAGCATCGATTCTTCTTTGGTCTTCCTTATTCATTGTTCAGCTATCACAAACAAATGAGGTGACTGAAAATACGATGGCTTCGGTTAGGCGCACCAGACATCTTTGCTCTTTAGCACTTTAAAGAGGTCTTCTGCAGAAGATTTACTCAGTGCAATATATCATCTGATTTTTTTCAATTCTTTTTATTGAAATATAATTTACGTACCATGAAATACACAAAACTCAAGTGACACAGGTCAATGTTTTTTTTTTTTGCAGTGTTCCCTCCCCATCCCTGGCAACCAACAAAAGCAAGTTCATCTCCATATATAAACCTTTCCTTGACCCTCCACAACAATGAACTAGTACTGTCTGTCTTGTGATTGGCTTATTTCACTCAGCATAATGTCCTCCCAAGTTCATCCATGTTATGTGGTGTTTTGCAGACTCTATGTTATTCTTTAGTGATGAACAGCATTCCATTCCATACATACACAGTGTGCATATACCACTGTTGTTCATCCATTTTTCCACTGATGGGCACATAGGTTGTTTCCATCTTTTTGCTATTGTAAGTAGTGCTGCAATCAACATGGGTGTGCATATATCTGTTCCTGTCCTGGCTCTCACCTCTCTAGGATATATCCCTATAATGGGATTGCTGGGTCAAATGGTATCTCCAATTCCATCTTTCTAAGGAATCGCCATACTGTTTTCCACAGTGGTTGTACCACTTCACAGTCCCACCACCAGCAGTGTATAAGAATCCCAATCTCTCCATATCCCTGTCAGCACTTGTTATTTTCTATCTCCCTGAACTTTGCTATCAGTGCTGGGGTGACATGGTATCTCATTATTGTTTTGATTTGCATCTGTCTAATGACCAATGAGGAGCTCTGGTAGCATAGTGCCTAAGGCACTTGACTGCTAACCAGAAGGCTGATGGGTTCAAACCCACCAGCCACTCCTCGGAAGGAAGATGG